GTTTTCACATTATATCAAAACTGAAGGCACGAGTCAAACGGATTTTAGCGATCAATTGTCAAGTTTTGATCCAAACGTGTTTACACTCATCGCATGGGATCCTCCGGGTTATGGGTAGGGATTCAACAATTTTTGTTGCTATTTATTCTCAAACATATCATTTAATATTTGTATAATTAATTTTCAAAATATTAATTTAAAAAATGTAAATTAAATTTACATTTTTGTATTTGTAACAAATTTTTATTGAACAAACAGATACAGTCGACCCCCAGAAAGGCAATGGTGTCTAGAAATATATGCCATAGACGCGGATCTTGCGGCCAAACTAATGGAGGTTTGATTTTATTTGTAAAAGTAGTTTAATCAACAAAATAATAATTGATTTAACGCTTTATTATAAGAAATTGGGGATCAATTTCTACTCAATACTGGGTTGGAGTGACGGCGCAAAGACAGCGTTACAAATGGCCATTAAATATCAATCGGTGATCAATAAAACGGTGATTTGGGGCGTCGGCTGCTTCTGTAAGCCCGAAAACATACGAGCACTCTATGCGACCAGAAATGTGAAGGTATCCCACATTTCATAAACTAATATTAGGACCAAAATAAACATTTAATGCATAAAAAACAAAAAGGTGTGGAATCCAAGAGTTCGGGAACTCTTTGAATCGGTTTACGGGAATGAATTGCAGACTCTATGGGGCCGACTCGTGGACTTCTACCAGTCGACCATGCTCAATTGGTCGCTCAAGAGCGAGATCAAACGGATCCATTGCCCGACATTCATACTGCACGGCGATATCGATCCGCTCATCGATTTAGAGCATCCAAACTACTTATTGAGTCACATATCGGACTCAAGACTGCATCGATTCGCCGACGGATCCCATAATATTCATCAGGAGTTCGCCAAACAATTCAATCAATTAGTTCAGGATTTTCTCCTCGAGTGAAACGCACACTCCATGTCATGAGTGATTGGCTTTTGATTTTTCTTGGTAGAAATTTTTCAGTGTTTTGTTTAATGTTTCTTAAAGGCTGACATACTTTCAGACATACATATTATTGTCTGAAATTATATGGGTTTAATTTTTCCATTGAATAAATAAAATATTCCTTTAAATAATAAAACAATTGTCCGAAAACAAGAGATCGTCAGTAAATGTTATACTTTTAATGTTTTTGTTAAACAAGTTTTACAGAAAAAGTTTAACGAAAGCCAAAGCAATGAGTTGTGGCACTAATTTTGGATTACTGTTAATTGGCGTCGAGTTATAAATAGAGGCCTCGATGTGAACAAAATCCGTTGGATTCGTTTCATTGCTTTTGTTTCCAAACATATTTTGTATGTCTTTAGTTCTGCTGTTGTCCTCGACGTCCAACTCGTTATTGCTGTCCAAAGCGATGCCCAAAGAGTTTGGATCAACCGATTGGTCCAGAAAACAGGCCGGATATGTGAATGTCTTGTCCTGTGGTAGACATGATCTATAAGTGAGTATTCTTGATGTGGCGCTCGACGTGTATGTCTTGTAAAACTCTTCGTTCACAAGAATGGCCGCCTGCGCGCCGCACCTGTCGATCACCGATTTGACGGCACAGGTCTGGTACTCAACCCACCAACTGATCACACGTTTCATATAGTTTCAGAATATAAGCAATTAAGATCATGATTCATGACTTGTCAATTACAGTATATGTCTATAACATAATATAGTTATTTGTTGAACACTTACCAACAAATTTGCCTAACTTTTTGAAAATTCTCGGCTCTGGTGTTGTTTCGCGAATAGCCGACCGCAGAGAGCACCTCCTCCTTCGCTTGTGTCAAAAGTCTGTATTTGTTTTGGCATTTCTTCTGATCCAAAACTGTTTGACTCAAACACTTTCCGTGTTTTACAAACACTTATGTATGAGAAAAGTAATCAATAGTAAAGAGTCAATAAAGACACAGACATAGAGTGAGACAGATATGGATATTGAAATGAAGTACATTTTGACGGCTTTTTGGCAAAAAAAGTTTTTCAATGAAAAGACTTACGTCTACTATAAGTGGAGTTATAAATACAGATATCTCTGAAATGCGGAGACGAGAACTCATTCATCCGACTTATTATGACATCTTTGTTGCCTTTACTGGTAATGCATTCGTTAAACACATTTCTATAGCA